CATTCTTTTAATACTGTATCAAAGATGCGTGAGTGCTCAGTTTGAAGCAGTTGCCAGACATTTAAGAGAGTTCTGAAATCCCGGAATTTCACCCCGCATATCTTTCAGTGATCTGGAGCGTTATTTTGCTTCCTGTCCTTGTGCAGTCGCTTCTTCAACGAGCAATGTTTGTTGTGATCTGTTTGCCTGTCTGTATATCACTGTGTAAATTATAAAAAAAATGACTTGTTGCAAGCTAATAAAGTTAACTTACTTATTTGGTCGTGAAGCGAAATAACAAAGAAACGAAGAAACTTTAAAAATGAGGAGCTTGACCTCCGCTCTCTTTCTAAAAGTATCCAATTTGTCGAAGATACCGGGAGTATCAAAATCATTTGGATATTCAATCAGTATTAATATGGAGTAACTCGCGAGATTCGGTTAATATTGTAAGGAGTTCTATATCCGCATTTTTCAAGAAGCACTAGAGGCGAAGGGAGGGGCAACCAGTGATGTGAGCGAGAGATGTGAAAGGGAGGCCGGTGGAGTGGAAATACAAGAAACTCGCCTGAACTGACTACAAGAAACTCGCCTGAGCTGGTTTTTATGCAAGTACATATATTAAAATTGTAAGTTATTAGATTTGCTCTATAGACACTCCGTACACGTTTTATTTCGGACCTTACAGAAACGCGATGCACTCCTCCTTAAGCACGCGCGCTCCTCACAGCAGCCGCCGAAATTTGTCCCTCCTTAGGACTGTTGGCGAAAAAATGGACAACATTTGCGTAGGATCCGTGTATCGAGAAATCTCAAGAAAATGCACTAAAAAAATTTATCCTGTGATCCGATGTTACTGTACTTTGTAAAAATAGCGCAAAAGATCGCAAGCGCTTTGTAATTGGGTCTTGACCTTTGTAATTGGGTTAAAGGTTTCAGGACAGCCTCAAGAAAAATTAGGTTATAGTGCGGCCACTTGCTGTGGGAAGGTAGAAGTACTGCCGGTTTCTTGAAAGGAAAGGCTAAGGTGTTGCCAAAGCTGGGAAATGGCGGGTTTGGAATTTGGTATCTGGTATTTGAGGAAATGGGGTTCAGCAATGACTAAAAGTAGGTTTAATTTGTTGAACTGGAACTGCTTTGTTCAATTTTTAATAAACACCTTTCCCGTTTAACAACAACGCGCTAAGCATATGCAAGTACCATTTGCTATCCAAATGAATTACAGTACAGCAGGCATTTTGCATATATGCAAATTGCAAAGACGCACTTTGGAAAGAGGTTGTCTGTGTGTGTGTGCCTGTGTGTTCGCACTTTTTGTCACCCACTTTCAACTCGAGAACCAGAAAGGCTAGAAGGCTGAAACTTTGGGAGTATGTGCCCATACCATGCGCGATCCTTCCCTTTTAATTTCATCTCTCGCGACGCCTGAGTGCCGCGTACGAACGCTTTAAAAAAATATGCAAATTTTTTGGCGGGAAGATGATCTCGGGAACCGCACGAGCTAAAGGACTAAAACTTTGTAGGGATATTCCCTATGCATGTACTAGCTAAAGATTTCAAGTTCGGCTCCCAGGTATGCGTGATACTCACGTAAGGGCGTACGAAAGCTTCTGCGAGAAAATTACTAACTCAGGAACCAGAAAAGCTAGAAAGCTGAAATTTTAAGGGAATGTTTCCTGTCCAAATACAACTTAAGTATTCCTAATTCAGCCTTGAGGTATGGTTCCTACGTTCGAGCGCTTAAAAGTTTTGGCGAAGAAATTTTCCGCTGAACAGTTAGGTTACTTTTAAAGAACGACCGCTGGAAGTTGTACATTTACTTTATGCAAAATTTATGATGATTTATGCCAGTGACCGTAAAAAGTAAGTATAAAGCAGCAACCATTCATGTATTTAATGACCTGGGTACTTCAAGTCCAGTGCAAAAACGCATGATCGCATGGGCCCGCCCGGTGCGTCCGTTACTTATTCTAGAAATATTTGTGTTTACATTTGCACAATTTTTATGCGTTTTTGCTGTGCAGCGCTATAGCAGCGTTTTTGCTGCGCAGCTGCTACAGCCAGCAAAAACGCATATTGTCGAGAGGCTGTCTGTGTGTGTGTTCGCAATGCGAG